TATGACTGTGTAGAGATCTATAAAAAAATCTATGTTGATTGTTGATCATTGTGTGTGTATCTCAGATTATTGTTCATCTTATTTTTCTATTTTTATATGGGTGTGTTTATAGTTCTATTTTTATCTTTTGATTTTTTTCTATTTTTAAGAGATACATGTATCATTATTAATCATTTGGTATCATTGTTAATCAATCTATTTGTAAGTAAATTTTTTTTTATCAATTTATTTGTAAGTAATCAATCTGTCATACTTGTATCATTGTTAATCAATCTATCTGCAAGTAATTTTTTTTTTGTTTATATGGGACATATCTGTTTTGTTATTTAATTATGAGAATTCGTGATCCTAATCCAATCCAATCCATGTTTAAACGGATTGGTTCGGATTAGTTCTACGATTTGAACGGATTGAATCGGTTTCAAATTTTTAGAAATCTTACATAACGGATTAGTCCTGATTTTATTCTAATCCGGACCATGTTCACCCCTACCAAACGAGACCTAAATGGAGTAATATTCCCTCATATGTGATTTATGAGTAAATTTTCCTTTTATTAATTCTGAACAAATTTTGAATTTTTAGGTTTCTAGCTTTTTTCGCTTTGAAATATTACAATGTTATACATTTAAAAAATAAAAAATAAAACTAAAATTAAAAAAATCAGAAAAACTAGATAATTTCTGAAGAGGATATGGTAAATAGATAATAAAAAGATTTTTGTTAATGAGTGTTTCAAAAGTATTTGATAATTCGTCTGATACAAAAAGTAAAGATGTAAAAATAATATTGTAAGATTATTTACAAGTTAGCAATAAAAAGTCTTAATTCATACGAGAGATTCATTATATTCAAAAAATGATAAAACTCAAAATATTACATCAAGACTACTGTTCAAATATTATATATTACTAAAAAAATATTATTTTTGTTTTTATATAAAAAATATATTACAATTTCGTTATTTAATTTAAAGCTATAAAAAGAGAATTTACGAAATAAAATCATTAAGTAGGTTCCGACATGAACAAAATTGACTATTTAGTTACTTTAATCTAATTAAAATAGTTGTATTTAGAAAGATAGTTAATATTTTTTTTTATAGTTAATTTGATAGCTGTGAAAACAAAAGTAAAATAATTATGAGATATTTTTTTTTATTAATAATTTTAATTTATTTTATCTTTATTAACTATTTTAGTTTTTTTTTAAAAAAAAAACACTGTAGTAGAGAGGTTAGTGGTTTGATGGACGACGCGTGGCGTACTTGATATACTAGACAGTGGAGATCTCCTTCCTTGCATGCAGAGTTTAAAAAATGGTTCACAAAAACACGCCCACCGTGGGGCTCGAACCCACGACCACAAGGTTAAGAGCCTTGCGCTCTACCAACTGAGCTAGACGGGCTTTTCCTTGAAAGGTTTTCCTAACCTTTTAATCAACAGTCTCAACACCATAATGTGTTCTTGCTTGTCAAAGATTTTATTCTAGGATGAAGTTGACAAATATCAGGTTAGACCAAGTTCAAAACACTATGTAATAATAGCAAATGAGTTATCTCAATCCAACTCAGCTTGACATTGAGTTTAACTTAGTCATTCCAAAGAATTCTTCAAAATCAAGGGTGGACATGGCCCCCCTTAGCCTTATTGTGTCTTTGTTGCTGTATGTATGCATTCAAAAAAGAGTCTAATTATAGATGGGTGATCTTTGAGGTTAGATTCTAAAGAGTCAAAGTTCTAGTCAACCTTCGATAGTGTTATATAGCAATGCCTCTCAACCATGTAGCAATAAGTCTCAAATTCGCACCCACATTCCATTCAACTGGATTGCAGAATGTTGTTGTTTGGGTAATGAAACTAATTAGGAATTCCACTTCAATAATATAAATAATTCAATTTATTGGTCGCAGTATATAGTTCATCAATAAAATAAAATTAAAAAATTAATAATCATAACTACATGATTTCATCATATTTAGATAATCTATTTCACAAGTATACTTATTGCCTATTCTTTGGAAAGTAAATATAAAAAAAATTGTGATTATAATTATCAATTTTTTTTCCATTAATTATGCATCAATAAAAAAAATCGTTTAAATAATTAAAATAAGACTTATAATGAATCTCATAAACTAATCTACACCATGCATATCGATTTCTATATTCTGAGTTAGTATTTAAAGATTAAATTTTTTTTTCTAATACCATATTACATCATTTAAGTAGTATTCTGGCCCGGTTTTGGGCAAGCCCACAGAGTAGCTTCTTTGGGCCATCCAAAAAAGGCTGAAAATGGGATCTCAAAAATATTTATAATCTTGTTCTAACTTCATTAAAAAAAATGCTCAATTCAATATTACAAGTTCAAAAGCCTAAATGAATGAAATGCCCAATTTAAACTTAATAGATAAAAGGCCCAATCTAAAATATAAATTTATAAAAAGGCCCAATACAAATTCATTATACAAATTAAAAAGACCCAAAAACTCGAGGCCTATATTCTAAAATAATTTTAAATTAAGTATAAAGAAATTTGAGGCGCTAACTGACTATCAAAATTGGAGAGAAAAGAAAGAAAGAGAGAGAAGTCCTAGAGTAAAGCAAATGCAAGTTACACATAGTCATTTATGTATTTAGTTAGGGGATTTGAAGAGGGATTTAGAAAAAGAAATAAAAAAGATAGGTGAAATGTGAATAAAATATAATTATATTTCACATAATTTTACATACCTTTTTCCTTTGTCTTTCCAGATTCCTCCCCAAATTTCCCAACCAAACACAGTACTAAAGATTAATTGAAGTTCAAAAGAAGAGAAATTGGAGGCCTAAAACTCAACATAATTAATCTTCTCTCAACTTTCATCCATCACAAACAGTGAAAGTATTTTCTTTTCCTATCTATTTTATTTATTGATTGATTTTACAAAACTATTTATCTATTTTTTTTTAATTTATGAACATTTTATATATATTTTTTATTTTTTTTGTAAATTTTATTATATATTTAAGAAAAATTTAATACACTTTTTGTACGTATCATTTTTTTTTAAAATATGTATGAAAGGCTTCATATCCACTTTGACATCTGAAAAAGTCAAATCTAGTATTGATAGTATTCACAATAAATACTAAACTATAATGTATCTCAATTATGAGATGAAAAAAAATTATTAATTATTTCTGAGTCACCATGTGACTATAAAGTAGACCAATCACAGATCTCTATGAAGTTATTAATTATTAAGTTTCTTAATCACTTAACACAAAATTGTAAATCTCATTTCATTAGCCAATCACAATATATATATATATATATAATACTGTTTTTAAACCGACCAATAACTTCTTTTAAACGAGTGATCCTATCTATCATATCATTTAAATTTTAATAAATACCGACAGAAGACATGATTAAAGTTGTTAATATGGCGATTCATTCTAAAAAATAATAATAATAATAATTTGTTGTGGCGGTTGATGATCCAACCAAAATGTTTCTACGAAAACACCCCGCAACTTCTCATCTCTTAATGGATAAAAGCCCCAATCTAAAATATAAATTCATAAAAAGGCCCAATATAAATACATAAATCTAAATTAAGATCTCGTTTGGAACATGTTATTTTAATAATTTTTTGATTTTTTATGAAAAATTATATAGAAAAATAAAGAGAGCGATGTAATAATTTATTATAATTTTTTAACTTTTTAATTAAAATTGACAAATAATTTTTTTTAACCAAATAACTCGGGACATATATTCTAAAATATTTTAAAACTAAAGTATAAAGAAATTTGAGGCTCAACCAATCTATCATCATAGTACCTGTTGTCGCTGTTCGTGCCTCCTTGACTGACAATCAAAATTGGAGAGAAAAAAGAAGAAGAAAGAGAAGTCCTTGAGCAAAGCAAAAGCAAGTTACACATAGTTCTGTTTGTTAGAATTTATTTTCAGTTTATTTTAATTTTTATTTTAATTTAAGTTATTTTTGATGTGTTTGGTTCAGCTTAATAATACAGCTTATAACTTTTTGTAAGTCAAAAATTAACTTATTCTTTGAGTAAGGGAGGGGAAGTTTAATTTATAAATAAAAAATCAACTTATGTTCACAGTTATAAGTTATAAGCTGTCAGGCTATAAGTTATAACCAGTTTCTCACAACTCTACCAAACGGGACTATAGTCACCTAAAGATTAATTAAAGTTCAAAAAAAGAGAAATTTGAGGCCTAAAACTCAACATTATTAATCTTCTCTCAACTTTCATCCATCACCAACAGTGAAAGTATTTTCTTTTTCTATCTATTTTATTTATTTATTGATTTTACAAAACTATTTATCTATTTTTTTTTTAAAAAAAAATTATTAACAATTTTATATATTTTTAATTTTTTGTAAATTTTATTATATATATTTAAGCAAAATTTAATAGACTTTTTGTAAGTACCATTTTTTTTTAAAAAAACCTGTATGAAATGCTCCATATCTAGTATTCGTTTTGATCTCGGAAAAAGTCAAAGCTAGTACTGATAGTAATTACAATAAATACTAAACTACAACATATCTCAATTAAGAAGAGAAAAAATTATTGATTATTTCTGAGTCACTACGTGACTATAAAGTAGACCAATCACAGATCTCTATACTTCTTTAAGTTCTTTAAGTATCCAGCACAAAATTATGAGTTTGATTTTATTCATTAATCACAATATATATATATATATATATATATATTTAAATTTTAATAAATACCCATAGAAGACATGATTAAAGTTTTTAATATGGCGGTTCTTTTAAAAAAAAAAATTTGTTGGGGCGGTTGATGATCCAACCAAAATGTTTCTACGAAAACACCCCGCAACTTCTCATCTCTTACCTATCGACCCCGCAAAGAAAAGTCAGTTTCTGAGAACCACCTCGCACCCTTGCCACGCGTAAAGCCCACGCCTATATACAATATAATATTAGTCAAAGACAACAAATTCTACACACATATCCCACCTTTTTCAGCTCAAATCCAACCCCAACTCCATCCATACATATCTGCACACACGTATCCACCTACTATCTCCACATAAATAAATACTTTCTTCTTCTCTATGTATATCTCATTCATTCAATTTAACTTAACTTGAATTCTGCTATTGATATTTCATATCCACTCTTAATATACTTTGTAACTCAATCTGTTCTGTACTATTTGATTTAAAATGGAGAAGAGCTTAAGCCAGCAATACAAACGTGTATTCAACCACTTCGACGGCGATGGAAATGGCAAGATATCAGCTTCAGAGCTGCAACTTTGTGTCGGTTCAATAGGCGGCGAGCTTTCGCTTGAAGAGGCTGAGGCGGCGATCTTGTTGATGGATTCTGATGGAGATGGGTTGTTGGGGTTGGAGGACTTTGAGAGGTTAATGGAAGGAGGAGAGGAAGGAGAAGAAGAGAAGGTGAGAGAATTGAGAGAGGTTTTCAAAATGTATGATGTGGATGGGCGTGGTTGCATTACGCCTAAGAGCTTGAAGAGGATGCTTAAGAAGCTTGGCGAGTCGAAAAGCATTGGAGACTGTAAGTTGATGATAGCTTACTATGATCTTAATGGCGATGGTGTTCTCAATTTTGATGAATTTAGGATTATGATGTCTTAGATGAGCAGAGATTACTACGTTGTCTACTTTTCTGTATATGCATTTGAATCTTGATGATCATGTTCACGCGGCAATGTATATATCTTATGAATAACATTCTTTCAGATTACTGTTCTTTTTTCGCGCCTTCCAGGCCAATGTAATACTTTTTTTTTTTATTTTTTAAATTTAATTTATTCTTATGATAAATTGTTCTTCAAGTGTTCGAGCATATATAAGCATACATGGACGGGGCTAAAAAGACAAAAGAGTTTCATTATATTTAAAAAAGGGCAAATTATAAATAAATAAATAAAAGAAGGTAAATTATGCATATAGTCTCTATAGTTTGCACGATGTGTCCATTTGGTCCCTGCAGTTTCAATTTGCTCAATTTTGCTTGTTAATTTAATGGATTGTATTATTTTAGTTCAATAAATAACGGTTATTAAGTTAATTTAATGGAAAGTTAAACAATGTGTTAATTTGGTCTCTGTACTTTACACGATGTGTCAATTTGGTCCTTTTAGTTTCAATTTTCTCGATTTTGACAGGGACTACATTCACACATTATGAAAAATTCAGGACCAAATTAACACATTGTTTGACTTTGCGTTAAATTAATTTAACAACCGTTATTTATTGGACTAAAATGACACAATCCGTTAAATTAAGAAGCAAAATCGAGAAAATTGAAACAATAAGGACCAAGTTGACATATCGTATAAACTATAGAGACTATTTGCATAATTTTTACAAAAAAAAAAAACTCCAAGAATTCGTGTGTTTTTTAATTTAAACCTTAGGGCTTCAATTTTGACAAATTAAACTCTGGAGTTTCTTCCGTGTTTCAATATGAACCCCCATCTATATCCGTTCGATTGAACTAACGGAATTTGGGCAAAATTCTCAAATTCAAATATATACTTTCAAGCATTTGTATCTCCCTTATTGTAACTTCGTTTCGCTTTATTTTTGTGTCATTGAATTGACCTCATGACCTAGTTTTCATTCCACCCCTCATGCGTCTCGTTCCATCTCTTTTTTATTGCTGTCAAAGTTCTGAAAGTTAGCCAAAAAGATTATTATTATTATATTTTTTTTCTCTCTGAACAAAATTTTTAGATTCAAGCACACATGTTTAAACACTTATATCTCTCTCGTCGTAGTTCTGTTTCACATCATTTTCGTGTCGTTAGATTCATCTCATGGTCTAATTTTCATTCCACTCCTCATACACCTTATTTCACCTCTTTTTATGTGTTGTTAGAGGTCTCTCTCTCTCTTCTTTCTTTCTTCGTCAATCTTCTATCTCCATATTTCTTCATTTCTCATTTTTTGTCACAATTATTCTCTCTTTTCCTTTTCTTTCATGGCCCTTCCCCCACTCTTATGCTTCTTTCCATTCTTGTAAGTTATATATATATATATATATACTTGACGACACCGCCACCGTTGGCGGTTTGATGGCCATCACAAGCTCAGTGGAAGGACCATAAAGGAAAAGGTAAAACAAGAATAATAGTGGAAAGAAAGTAAGACGGAAGAAGCATGGAGATAGAAAATAGAGAAAGAAGGGGGAAAAAAAAGAGATTTTTTATTTTTTTATTTTTGGCCAACTTTTGAAGCTTTGACCGCATGCAAAAAGATGTGGAACAAGACGTATGAGGAGTGAAATGAAAATTAGGTCATAAGATGAATTCAATAACGCAAAAATGAGGCGAAAAGAAGTTACAATGAGGGAGATACAAACACTTGAATATGTAGGTGTGAATATGAAAATTTTGTCCAAAGAGAGAAAAATCTTATTTTTGGCCAAATTTCAGAGCTTCAACAGTATGAAAAAAGGAGTGAAACATGGCTTATGAGAGGTGAAACAAAAGTTAAGCCATGAAGTAAATCCAACGACACAAAAATAAGGTAAAATGGAGTTTCGACGAAGGAGATACAAGTGCTTGAATATGTGTGTTTAAATATGAAAATTTTGACAAAGAGAGAAAAATCTTATTTTTAGCCAACTTTCAGAATTCCAACGGCACGTAAAAAGAGGTGAAACAAGGCGTATGATGGATGAAATGAATACCTAGGCCATGAGGTGAATCCAACGACACAAAAATGAGACAAAACGAAATTACGATAAGAGAAATATAAGTGCTTGAACATGTGTGTTTGAATTTGAAAATTTTGCCAAGATTCCGTTCGTTTAATATATGAACGGAGGGTTCATATTGAAATACGGAAAAAATTTCAGAGTTTAATTTGTCAAAATTGGAACCTGACAAATTAAACCTTGGGATTTAAATTAAAAAACACATGAAATTCTAATTTTTTTTTGTAATTTGTCCTTTAAAAAATTATAATGTACCAACTCTGTTAACAATTTTATATTTTATACGAGATGATACATTTTTTACTTCTTTGGGTTTAACGGTTATTGCAGTTTTCAGTTTTTTTTAGATAACCGAAGTCGAAAATCTATGAATGATCCTAAGCAACCTGCATCTTTGTTATCTATCTCGCATTTTTATTTGTTATCTATCTCGTATTTCATATTCACAATGAAATTTATTTCACCCGTAACGTGTTATTGTATAAAAGATTTTGTCCAATTCACTAATTCATGGCCTCTTTGGAAAAGATTATAAATAAAAAATAAAAAATAAAAAATAGTTTATTGATTTATTTGAGTCAAATTATTTCTCTATTTTTTATACATTTTTTTTAATAAAAAATTAATAAACTAAAAAAAAAAACATTTCTCAAAATAGGCAAAAAAAAATTCGAAGTGGGTGCAGCCTAAGGGTAGGCAACGGTTTATCCATCCGCAAAACCCGCCCAATCCGCCTAACCCGTATATAAATGGGCGGTTTCGCAGACACAATACATGCGGATGTAGTTTAAAATATGACATGTTTGCAGGTTACAGGCGAGTTATGGGTTTAACTCGCACCTGCAAGAACCCACCTGTACTTTTTTTTAATTATTTTTTTTTAATCTTAACCGTTGATTTCATTCTTATATCTTACCTAGATATTTTTGCCCAAAACAAAACACCATTTAGTTTTGAACTTACTCTAGCATTACCTTTGCTAATAGTATTATATCAACTAAAACTGAATAAATATTGATCATATTATTATTGTTTCATAACTGAACTTGTCTCGGATGAAATGTGATTTGGAATTGTAAATTCCTTAATGAATATGGAGTTTTAGTTTAGGATTTTGAAATATATACTTGTGTTAGTTTATGATTTGATTTAAAATTTTGAATGATTTGTTTGTGTTATAAATTGATTTTGTTGTATTTTTAATTTTATAAGTTTTAATTCATTAATTATTAATGTTGGAGTATTTTAAAAAATGAGGAGAAAAGAGCTCAAAATAAATTTTTACAAAATGGGATAAAAAAGTTTAAAAATAAATTTTTGAAGAAAAAAGTCCAATCTGCAAACTGCCCACAACCGTCCACACATTCGCGAACCCTATCCGTACAAACCGCAAACCGCACTGCGGGCGGTTGCGGGTTGACTTTTTTCCAAACCGCATAGATGTGGGCGGGTTCAAACCGATCCGCAAATTGTCCAAATCCAAACCGCGGACACCCCTTGTGCAACCCGCCTTAATGATTCTTTTTGTTCACTTGGTGCCCTTCGCTAATTTATTCCTTTTTTTTTTTGAACGACAAATATTAATTGGTAGTTGTTAGATTAGCATTTATGTGACAAAATTTCTTTACTTTTGACAAAGCACCTAAATACTTGCACTCCCTTAATTCAACATTCCTAAGAAAAATTAAACCCATAAAGCTCCTTAGGACTAAGCCCTACGAAAAATATGATGACCAATTAAGCTAAGCCCAGTTGGTTTTCGCTAATTTATTCCTTCTCTTTCTCAATTGCCTTAGCTTAGCACATTTATGAGAAGTTATATTTATTTACAACACAAAATATGTGTTCTTAAGTGCTTTGTTTTAAAATTAAGGTTAAGTTTGACATCTCTTAAAAAAGTTGTTATCCTATTTAAGTCACATTATCTCTCTACCACATCATTTCAAACCCAATTTATATTTCATAAAAAGTCAAAAAATACACTTATTTAAAATATCTCAAATAATCCCTAAATATTTACACTGAGTTAAATTATTATATATAAAAATTTTATATTTATATATTATCAATCTCCCGATTAAATTCGAGAAACATCCCCAACAGCATCACTCCATAAGACTAATTTGTGAAAAAGGTTTTTTCAATGCACCTTAATTCTACAAATATGCTGTATTTATTTATCAACAATACTATATGGGTGGGAAATTTTCGGACCACATTACCAACTCAGTAATTCAGTTGGAGAGCACTGGCAGAATAAATGGCATCTGACTGACCTGCAACAGAAATATAAGAATCCCGCGGTGGTTCATCCACCCGGGGGCACTCCGACGATCAAGTCAGTATATCTCTCAAAGATAATCAATTATTCAACTCACAAGCTTGAGCCTAAAAAGCATACCTTAGACCAATGGGGGTGCCTCTCTTTTATAACCAACATAAACATATTCCCAATAGAAGCTTAACTTCTATGGACTCAGGATTACTGCTAATCTTGAACTCCCAGTAAGATTAAGATAAACTCTCTAAGAGTCTTATCTTAATACAAACTGAAGTCTTCTCTCATTCTAGGACTCTTGTCCCTCATCTAGGTTGAGTTCCCTTTTCATTCTAGGGCTCTTGTCCCTTATCTACTTATCTCGGATTCCGACATCTTCGGAGATAACCTCGGCCTTGCCGAGATCACCTCGGCGTCACGACCCGGACACGTGACACCTCGGTTGACATGTCGACGTCACCTTGCCACGTGTTGGTACTCAGAAAATATATCCCCACACTATAAATTTAAAATTTAGACTTATGAACCCAGAATTTATTTTTAAAAAAAATTAATGGTTAAAATTTACTTTACTTATAGATTTCACACTTTATCTATTTAATATGCACTATACAAACACATTCTAAATTAATTATGAATTGATACGTCTCGGTTCATGCCATTTTTCTTTCTAATTTATTTTTTGGTGTAGAAGATTAATGAAGTTTATTGGAGGAGAAGTTAATTGGTGATCTAGTATTTACATTTTATTGTGATTGACAAATAAAATGAGACTCATAATTTTACATTAAATAATTAAAAAATAATAAGGAATATGATAATTTATAATTGATAAGAGTATAACAACATAGCAATCCTAAACCACGATATAATTAGGTCCGGTAGTTAAAAGTTAAATATTAAGTTAAATTTTACATAGTGGCCCTCGCCTCTCTACATTTTTATATTTTTTTTTTAAAAATTAAAAAATCAAATTTTGACCAACTTTCTAAAAATTCTCATTAGAGAAAAAATCTGTTAAATTTATAATCCAATGAACCTACAACATGTGACGAACTAATTTTTCTCATTAGAGAAAGGAAGAATGTGTTTGACTCTTGACTTCATAATCTAATGACCTACAGCATGTGACGAACTGCAACACCCAAAAAAAAAAATCAATCGGAAACGTGTCACAAATCGCACCGACATCTTTTTTGTTGCGGAAGAACTCCACAAATATCACCATCACGAAGTATTTTTTTTTACTTGTAACCTAAAAGCTCAATTTGAGATTCATTATATACACAACACGTGTGCATTAAATTTAGATTGTTAAATACAATATACACGTGATCCTACCTACTTGGCGTACCAAGAAACCAAAAGTCTAAGACCCGTTAACATTTTTTTGAACGCCATTAATTGACAAACAAATTTATGTAAAGAATTTTCTTATACTCGTGATTTATTCATTATAATAAAAATAGGGAAAATCGGTCTAGGGTCCCTCTCCCACTTTTCGTAATGGAAGAGGTCCACAAAATTATATTATGATGTCTAAGGTCCCTACAGAGAAATTTCATATCCCTCACCCTTCAAACCTCCATAAACCAATTCGATGATTTGTCTCTCCATTCTAGAGAGAGAATCTAGAGAGAGAGAGCACCATAGTTGCATTGCAGATCTGTTGAACAGACATGGAGGCTGCCTACTTCAATGATTCTCAACGTGAGGCAACAAACGATGATGGTGTAATTGCTGGACTCAATGTAATGAAGTCCCATATGGGTCCCAACCCATGTGAGACATTTGATAAAACTTTTAGTAGAATTTTTAAGACCTCTAACATTTTTGATTTTTTTTTACTTGCGACCTAAAAGCTCAATTTGAGATTCATTATATACACAACGCGTGTGCATTAAATTTAGATTGTTAAATACAATATACACGTGATCCTACCAACTTGGCGTATCAAGAAACCAAAAGTCTAAGACCCGTTAACATTTTTTTGAACGCCATTAATTGACAAACAAATTTATGTAAAGAATTTTCTTATACTCGTGATTTATTCATTATAATAAAAATACTTATTATTATCTTCATTTTATTTTTTTTATAAATATTACTATCATATGATACTTTTTATAAATTTTGTATAATAATTTACATATCATTCTCCTTAATAGAGACTCAAAATTTTATCTCAAAAAAAATTTACTGAATTTGAGAATAAGTTATTAAATGATCTTGAGACGTTATCATATAATGCCCCAATTAGAATGTTTTTGGAAATCATTTATTAAGTAATTTTTTAATTTTTTATAAAAAAAAATATGTAAAAAAAAAAAAAATGATATGATAATTTGTAACAAATAAGCAGCCATCACTTTTGTGTCGTGTTGTAAGAGACAAAATGGAGATGGCAAATTATGAGTGATGTGCTATGCTTGTTCCAAACACAAACCCCACTCACTAACAGCAAAATTCCTCAAAAAAAAAAAAAAAAAAAAAAAAAAAAAAGAGAAAATTCACCCTCCCCTTATATTCTTGTGTATTTATTGTTGCCAATGATTGATCAATTGGATATTATTGTCTGGAAATCCCAAATGAAGATGTCCATGAATTGGTTTTTGTATAAGTAGAAGATCTGATCTCATTGTGCAAGTAGAAGAACTGATCCCAAATTGGATTTTGGGGTTTTGACTGCTAACCAAATATGAGCTTAATTTATCAAATGAAAAAAAAAAAAAAAATGATAGAAAAATCAAGAACTGAATTTAACTTCTACCCTACATTTATTGAGAATATGCAAAACAACATTGACATGATTCAACTTCAACCTTCACTTAAACTTACAGTTTGCAGAAAAACTGTGTATGAGCTTCACCAAAAAGTACAAAAATGCCAAAACAAAGCATAACACTAGCAAAACCTATTATTTCATTACATCATTTATTTCATATAGTAAAACATTAACAGATCATTAGTGTACACAGTAAATGCGTTTATTCAATCATCCTGCAAGTATCTTGCCTTTATCGGCTTCCTCCACGCTCTTTCTCAAAAGTGATATAACTTGGGCTGGCTCAGAAGCTCCTAAAACTGAACTTCCCGCAACAATGCAGTTTGCTCCTGCGAAAGCCGCCACGTCAATGGTTGAAGGCTCCAAACCGCCATCCACCTGCATAACAAAGTCAAAGGGCATCCAAAAAAATTGTCACTTTAAACAAGAAAAAAAAATTGAAAGATGTTCATAAGTATGTTCCATGTTTTAAGTATTTGGGTGCAGTGCATTATCTTTTTGAGTCTACAAATCATCCAGCTGTGTCAAGAATGTAGTTCGCATTGAACCAGCAAAATAGTAGGTGAATTAACTATTATAAGCTCTAAATTCACATTAGCATTAATGTATATCAATCTCTTTTCACTATGGCTAGAATAAAGACGTCACTTAATAGATAATGTTTGATGTCAACACTGCTCTCACATTTTCAAAAACACATCTAATTGAGACCCACCTTCATCTATTAAGACAGGTATTTTCTCGTTATAAACAACTTCATAACGTTTTTTTTTCGATTCATGAAAATTCTAGCAGCAACACAGTGTGTTTAGCGTTTCCAAAAAATCTCTGATAGGTTTCAAGAATCCATCACTAGATGCCAATAATAAAAAAATCCTAATAGCATTTGGTGTTTGGAGAGTTAGTTTCAGGTAGCTTCGATGCAGACTAGCAAAACAGCAACATGCATAGTGAATTCAATCACGGTATTCATGTAGAATATAAAATAAAAGCATCACAGTTAGAAATGGGCTTACCTCTATATCAAGTGATGGATACGCCTTTCTGAGTGTGCATACCTGAAAACCACAGTTAGGGACAACCAAAATGAGAAGGATGGAATAACAACATCAATAGAAAGAACAACGGTGTTTATGCACCTTATCCATTGTTTCTGGCATGAACTTCTGTCCACCAAATCCAGGTTCCACAGTCATCACAAGAACCATTTCCACAGGATTTTCACCATCGAGCTGCAGAGTAGGAAACTGCTAAATGCTAGCATACTCTAGAGAAGCATTTAGTTTCTATTTAATGACAAATAAGGATCAAACAATCTTTATTTACATCAGTTATTTTAACAACTTCTGTCCACCAAATCCAGGTTCCACAGTCATCACAAGAACCATTTCCACAGGATTTTCACCATCGAGCTGCAGAGTAGGAAACTGCTAAATGCTAGCATACTCTAGAGAAGCATTTAGTTTCTATTTAATGACAAATAAGGATCAAACAATCTTTATTTTAATTTCAATGTAACTCTACTCCGCTAACGAAGCATGCAAATTTGTTTCTACTCACCAACACAGGTTATCAAATAATCTTTAGTTTAAATACATCACTGTAACTTCTTCACTTTGTTAAAGGGAAAATGCCAGGTAAATATCAAAACTTAAGAACTTAAAATAACAAGAAATAGGGCAAATTCTTACAAGTGGATACACATCTTCAATAGGAGTTCCAGGCTTTAAAGCCACACCAGGCCTCATACCCTTTGACATAATCTTTTTTTTTTTTTTAGATAGGATACCCTTTGACATAATCTGTTTGACAAGGTAAAAGGCAAAACCATGTAACCCTTCCATCATCAAAAAATTGAGAAACAAACAAACACCCAGAAAAACGAAAGAACAATCCGGACAATAGAGTAGCACACCTTTGGATACCTCGACATGAAATGTAAAACCCGAAGCACCAGCTTTTCCAAAAGGTTCCACATAATCAATAGGATTTGTGACCATAAGGTGACAATCCAAATACGCCCTTGAAGAAAAGAAGAAACCATACTTGCTCTTTCTAAACTAAAAATATTCCAACACCCTTTTGAAGTTGATATTTAGAATAATTTAGAAGCAGAGTGACATTACTTTGTGTGCTTTCTAAGACTTTGAATGACAGGAGCACCAATTGTGAGATTTGCGACAAAGTGTCTGTGAAAAAGAAAACCCAACATAAGTTCAAACAATAAAATTGTTACAAGTTAGAGATCCCATTATTGGCAATGACGGGTAAGGATATTATGGTTTTAGCCAAGAGTCCAACCTACCCATCCTGCAGATAAACCAACATAAAACCCAGTAAGTTTTTTTTTTTTTGGAAGAAAATTATTTAAACTGATAGAGAAAATCAGTTCAACCAAATGAACATATACCAGCTGCCAAAAAAGAGAAAAAAAGAAGATAAATCTAGCATAAATCCTAGCTAAGGTAGAAACTAGATTTGTTTGGTATTGTTTTCAAAATTTTCTTATTAGTTTTTGGGCAAATTGTACTAACGGTCCCTGTAATTTGAGTTTTGTATCACTTTGGGCCCTGATTTTTTAATTGTGATACATTTGATCCTAAATTTTGAATCTTATTCCAAATAAAGACAATTGAAGATACTATTGTTTAATTTCAAGGGCAAAATCGTCAATTTGATAAAATATAAATTTTACAAAAATAAATGTCAAAAAAATATTTTTGAATTTTTAAAAATTACTTACACACTCTAAAGATAAAATTTATATAACTTTTAGAAATTTATTTATTTATTTTATCAAATTAATTTTTATTATGTGTTTGGATGATAATCATGTAATGAGTGATTGTTTTTATTTTCATTAAATTAGTTTCTATTTTTTCAAAAGTCAAATATGACGACAACTTTGATATCATTATCAAACCTATCTATTAAATCAAAAAATTCAAAATTAAAAACAATTTATATATTAAATATATCGATTACACATTAAAATTCTAACAAACATCCATTACATAATCATCATCTAAATATATAGTAAATATTAATTTGGTAAAAAAAAAATGCTTAAAAGATTTATCAGTTTTACATAATTTTATCTTTTGTGAATAGAAATAATTTTTAAAATTTTTAAAATATTTTTTTGACATTTATTTTTATTAAATTAGTTTATATTTTATCAAATTGGTAATTTTACCCTTGAAATTAAGCAATAATATTTTTAATTGTTCTCATTTAGAACAAGTTTCAAAATTCAGATCAAATATGTCACAATTAAAAAATCAAAACCAAATGAGATGAGCTCTCCAAACTATAAGACTGTTAGTATAATCCGCCCTTAGTTTTTTGAAAAAGTTAGGAGCCCAGATTTATGGTCCCAGAATTTGTTCATGATGGAGATCAAATTGAAGCGTAGATATATAAGTGAAATGAATTTGAACCTTAGTTACTATTTATGAGTAAATTGGTTAAAAAATTCTGGTTTGTACTCCTCTGTTAGTTTTTTGTGGTTTTGGAAACAGAAATGCAAAATTTCGAAACACCCATTGCATTCCACCAAGGATCCTCTAGAATATTTTTTTTCTAAAGTTTCCTAAAGTGGTGTATTGTGTGGTTGAAATTTAATGTTGAAAAATTGATGTGACTTGTCATTAAATCTCAACCACACAATGTACTACTCTAGGAAACTTTAAGAAAAAAAAACTCTAGAGGATCCTTGCTCATTGCATTCGTATCACTTTCTTTCTGTCTTTTTTACCATCACCCCGAAACATATACTGAAAAACCAAATCAAAATTAACACAGTGTTTGGAACCGTGGAGAAAAAACGAAAAGAAATAATTACTTAAATTATAAGAGAAAATAAAATAAAATAAAATAAAAAATTATAATTTCTCTCATTTTTATTTAGATAAGTAACAAATAAAATAAACAAAATGATTGTAATTTCTCTCTTTATTTGGTTAGATTTCATAAGAGAAAAGAAAATAAACTTTTTATGTTATATTACCAAAATAATATTTTTATATTTTGAGGATATGAGTGTCAATCATTTTATTTTTTTTTATTTTTATAGGGATAAAATTGGTATTATAAAAATATAAAAATCTTTCGATTTCTTTTCTCTCCCAATCTCTCCATTTTTAGGAAGATTGAAAATGAGGGTTATAAGGTAAATAAGTTTCTCTCAATTTCTCTCAATTTCTTCCCATTTCTCTTCACTAAACTTATCAAAACATGTAAGGGAAATATATATCTTCCAATTTCCTTTCTTTTATTTCCAAATCACCCAATCTAAACATGGTATAACAGAAAAGAAACTATGAGAGAGAGAGAGAGAGCATGATGTCCATGTGAAGCCAATCGACGCCGAAGTGAAGCATGCGATGGGCCTTAGAGACCAAGTTGGCGAAGTCCGATGACAGCATCGACAGTGCTATCTTCGCTGTCGGCATCTTTTGGCCTTGGTATCCACTCAGAGATAGATCTGTTGTTGCTGGCATGTGGATGTGAATGTCCTCCTGACGATGTCGTTTTTAGACTAGCCCCATTGGAAAGTTACTATTTTAATTTTTGATTATTTTAGTAGGTTAAAATTTTTATTTTTGAGAAGATAATTAAGTTTTTTTTATAATTGAATGTCACGTTTGTGAAAAAAAAAAAATTATGAATTCAATGTAACATTTTATTTTTTTTAATTATTTTAATTTATTTCATTTTTTTATAAATTTTAATCAAAAAATAGTCCAAATCAACATGCCAAACACTCCCATTAGAATAATGTAGAAATCTCAAAAATTTTACTAAAAATTTTATATGTAAATCTTATATAAATCTCATTTCTGTATAAAATATTTGATAAAAATTTTAATAGAAATTTCATTTCTATATAAAATATTTGATAAAAATTTTAACAGAAATTTTTAAATCTGTAACATTTTTACTCCCGTTATATTTTGCTTCCTTTACTTACCAACCTACCCCGTCGTCTAATTTAATTTGACATTGATCATCTTGAAAGATGCTTCAAGCCCATCAACTTGTTCAAGCCCAGTTCGTTCCATTGGGCCTCCCGTTAATTTAATTTGACATTGATCATCTTGAAAGATGCTTTAAGCCCATCAACTTGTTCAACCCCATCATTAGTAAGTACGGGCCTATAAGTCAACTTGTTCTTTTCAGACCCCAACCCAAAACAAAATAAAAAAAATTGTATTATTATACCGCTGCTACGTTTGAGTTCTTATCCAAACAAATGGGTTTGGTTTTATGCATCCACTTAACTGGTGTGTAACTATAACCCCACCCATAGATAGCAAAGCTTGGGTTTTTAGAATTTAAATTCATTTTTTTTAGTGAAATAATTTCATATTTTATCTTAAACTTGATAGTTTTAACCTATCCGTCCCTACAATTCACCCTATCCTACCAACAGGTACTTTTTCAAACCTTTTTTTTAATTAAAATTGAGTTAGAATAAGGAACTTTTTACTTATAAATTCTATTTTGAAAAATAGTGATTCGATTAGTCTTCAAAAATTTTTTTATAGACCAATTAATTTCATTAATTTTAAAAAATTATATGTAATATATTACTTAAAATTTAAATTTACGAATATACCCTTATTTCTATTATATTTTCTTTTTTCTTTTGGCCAGAAAGGTAAGATACACAACTTAAGAAAATTAAATTTGGAATGAATTTTTATATGTGAATCTTTTTTATTTGAAATGAGTTAAAATATAGAATTCTTCAAATACTTCAAAAAGGAGTACGAAAATTTCTTAAGTTCTAAGCAAATGTATAATTTCAATCTCTAACATTCTAATATAACGCTCAAACGTAATACTAAAAAAAAAACTCTTTAGTGTAACATTTAAATTTAACACATAAAAAAAATTCTTAATTTACTTTTTTCAAATGTAAATTGGAGTATTATGTTTCAGATTACATTGATTGAAGTGTTATGTTTGAGAAAAGTACACTAAATATATATATATATATATTTTATTACATTAGAGCATTACGTTTGGAAAAATTTGAAGTGTTACGTTTGGAAAAATTTGAAGTGTTACGTTGCTATGTTTGGAAAAAGTACGCTAAAGAGTTTTTTAGTGTGTTACATTAAAGTGTTACGTTCTTATTAGTAATGTGAGATTTGTTAAAAAATGAGAAAAAATCCAAGACCTCCATAGTGTAGATTGTCCAAATACGTAATTTTACATTTGGAGAAACTTACTTTTATCTCTAAAAAAATTGAAGGGTGAAGTACCAATAAATTTTAAAATGTGATCTCGTGAACTATTTAGTTCTTCC